ATCACAAAGCTTTAATTAATTCGCTCCTACTCATTAAGCGTGCAAATTTTTTATCTAAATCAAATATTCATGCTTGTCCTACATCATCTGGTATCATCCGCATCAGTAGGACTATTCTTTAGCATATGTCTAAGTTGATAACATCAGAAGCAAACTTTAGTTTTAGAGAGACATTCATCCTTATGAAATTTTTCACCTTTCTTATAGCTCTTAGTACTTATTTAACTTCCACTGCTACTAGGTTGTACTTAGAATTTTAAGACTGAAAAAACAGTCTGGATTGAGAAACATGTGAACTTTTCATTCCTTAAGTGTGTGTGTATTTTATGGAGACCGCATTTTTGCAAAGTGGCCTGCAAATCCAACTTTTCCTTCTTGACCCCTCTCTACCAGCAAAGAGTAGTAATCGATTCCTAAGGGAATTAAAAGTAGGGGTTTCAATTCGGGTCAACGGGTCGGGTTCGGGGCAAACCCAACTTGACCCGGTCGTAAACGGGTTGACACTAACCCGACCCGTTTTTGCAAACGGGTCAAGTTTGTCAACCCGGACCCGACTCGTGCGGGTCACTGGGTTGACCCGACCCGACCCGACCCGCCAAGGAGATTTGGAGATCGAGATACGGGCAGTTCGAGCGAGGCCAAGAGCTGCGGAACTGCAGGCCTGCAGCTCCTATGCGCCTGTGCGAGCTGGTGCGGCTCCGCATTTTGACGCGAGGGAGGCCTTGACGGTGCCGGTGCGGCTCCGCTGTTTGACGCGGCTCGCCAGGGCAGGCGACCGCGAGACAGGTGTCCGGTGCACGCGTGCAGCTCCGGTGCTCCAAGTCCGCGATGTGCGCCTGGCATGATGCTGGCACGACGCGGACGCGCCTGTTTCTGGCTCCGCGGTTCGACGAGAGGGAGGACGCTGGACCCATCACGCGAGACCGCTCTCACACACACAAACACACACAATTGTGAGATTTATTTTTTAAGGTGCTGTTCTGCAAAGGATATATAGGTTCCCTTAGAGGCAAATGGATTGTAGAGAAGGCTAAGGAGATTGATAGTTTATGATTTAAACTATGATATTCTGGTAAGAGTCATTGGTGTGATTATAGATAAATGTTTGAAGGATAAGAATGTAAAAATTAATAGAATTAGATATATAACTATAACTTTAAAGATTGTTTATGATGTTAAGATTATTAATATGATAAACATTTATGCTCCTCAAGTACATTTGGATGTGTTTAAAATCAAAATTTTGAAATGACTTAGAACAATTAATACAATAGATACCACTTGAAGAAAAAAATTTTATTGGAGGAGATTTAAATGAACATATTAGTAGAGAGGTAGATGATTTAAAAAAAAATACTCATGGTTGCTATGTCTTTGGAATGACTAATGAAGGTGGTAAGATCATATTATATTTTTTTTTAGTTTATGATTTTGTAATTACTAATACCTTATTTAAAAAAAGAGATGAACATCTCACACTTATAAGAATGAATAAAATAATCTTAGATTGATTGTTTTTTTATAAGAAAAAATAGATTGTTTAGATTGTAAAGTTATTCCGAGTGAAAGTTTATGTACCTAATATAGCTTATTAGTTTTAAACTTTAAGATGAAGATGAAGAAAATAAAAAATAAAGTAAAATTTTATTCTAGAATTAGATGAAGACATTTAAAGAATATTAACAAAAATAATTTTAAGAGTAAAATTCTATATTTTAAGATTTTGTCTGTGCATGAGGAAGCTCGTGTTATATGAGAAAAAATAGCTAGTGATATTAAGAATGTTGTAAAAAATGTACTTATAGTATCAAACGAAAAAGCTACTAATAATAAAATAGTTTGTGGTGGCATCAAAATATGCAAAAAAAAGATAAAAAAAAGAATATTTGTTATAAAAATTGGTTTTGCTATAAAAATCTAATAATTAGGAAAAATATAAAGAAGCCTGTAAGGAATCTTAAAAAAGTAATATGCAATGCAAGGATTTTTTCTTTTAATAATTTATATATAGATTAGATATTAAGGATGACAATAACTATATGTATAAGTTAGCTAAACAAATAGATATGAGTAGTAAGGATTTAGTTCAAGTGAAGTGTATTCATGATGAATATCAAAGAGTGTTTTTATTAGAAGAGGATATTCAACAAAAAGTGAATTAAATATTTTGCTATACTTTTCAATAAAGATTGTGAGAATGCAATTGACTTTAGTGACCTTAACACCATAAATGAAAATAAAGATTTTTGTTTTTATCTGCGTATTAATAAAATTGAAGTTAAAGAAATTTTAAAGAAAATGAAGTGTGAAAAAGCTGTTGGACCTGATGATATTCCAATAGTGGTGTGGAAATGCTTAGAAGATGAAATAATTTATTGGCTTACTAAACATTTATATATTATTTTGAAGACAAAAAAAAATGTCAGATTAGTGGAGAATGAGTGTGTTGATTCTTATTTTTAAAAATAGAGGTGATGCACAAGATTGTGCGAATTTTAAATGAATTAAGTTAATGTGTCATACTTTAAAACTATGGGAGAGAGTTATGGAGCATAGGTTGCAGCGTGAAACTAATGTTTCTCAAAATCAATTTAGATTCATACCAAGTAGGCTACTATGGAAGATATACATTTATTGAGAGGTTTGATGGAGAAATATAGAGATATAAGGAGGTTCTACATATAATTTTTATTGTTTTAAAGAAAGCATATGATAAAGTTCTAAAAGAAGTGCTATGGAGAGTTTTACATAAAGTTCCACTCGATGCCGTCAACGTCTTCGTCCATGGCTTTCGTCAAATCAAATAAGATACGTCTCTTGAGTAGTCACCAATTGAAAGAAGTTTCTCATGGTAGAGGATAGGATGCACGCTCTCAAACTTCTTCTCTTACAATCTGAAACAGTTTCAGATTTTCAACCAAGAAAATCTGCGAGAATTTCTCAGATTTTATTGGGCTGGGTTGTAGAAAACGGGGAGGAGAACCTAGCCGTAATTGTGAATAGAGAGCTGAAGACAGATCTCCTTTACAGGTTTTGGGAGAGAGGATTTATTCCTTGCAAACAGGGGAGATGAGAGGCGGTGAAAGGGAGAGGGAGTTGGCGGGCTAGAGAGGGAGTGGAGCCTTGTTTCCTAAATCAAAAACTCTAGTATTAGGAAATAATTAAAACAAAGCAGAAAGGAAGATTCGGCCATGATAGGGGGGTTTCAAATTGTTTCCAAAAGGTGGGATGTAGTTTAGGAAACAATTCTCTGGAATTGTTTACTGGGCCGGCAGCTAGAGAAGCCAAAGAGGAATTTGTGGAGAAGATTTGGGGAGATTTAAAAGGCTAGGAGAAAAGGAAATTCCTTAATTAAATTCAATTTGAATTTGAAATTCAAATTGATGTAATTAAGGAACTTTCCTAAAATAGATTTATTAAATTAGGAAAGATTTTGAAATTCTCAAGGATTAATTTTGAATTTCAAATCTACCCACATTCAACTCAATCTAAAATAGGAAATGAGCTTGAATGGGAGAAGAGGAGAGTGGATCGGCGGCTAGGGAGATGGAGGCCGGCGGCATGGGGATTCGAGCATGGGTTTGGCCGTGGAATTGAGGGGGATTTGTGGAAGGGGAATTCGGGTGCTAGGGGCACCGCGGCTAGGTGAAGAGGGAGGAGATATGGGAGAAATAACGAGACGAGAAGAGAACGGCATAAACGAAAAAAACCACGAACCCGACTTATCTAGGTTGATGGGTATTGCGCCAAACTTCTTCCTCTCCTAGGAAGCTTTCTCCATTAGAACTCTCAAGCTCTCAATGTTCATGCAAGAAGGAATTTTAATAAGCAATCATTCATTAGCTCAAAACAAAGGAAATGAGGCTATAAATAGCCGGGTACAAAGACTCAAGAAAATAAAAGACCAACTTGCCCTTTGGGCTTACATGCGACCACTCCCATGAAATGGGTACAAAGGGAAATAATAACGACACCTAAGCAAATAAGAAAATGCATAAATAAAATAAAATACAATCATGACTCAGAAATACAAGGACTCGATCGTGGCCGTAGATCGGCGGCCACGTCTCTAATAAACCTTCCACGCTGATCTGATGTCCCCATCATGAAGGTAAATTTGAATTATGGAGGCCAACCTTCGAGTCTAAAGGCTTTCGTTTGAGTAGATTTAAAACTGAATATATTGAGTATAATTTTAGTAGTAATAGATTTAGTGGGGGGGGATTGTGACTTTTGGATGATCAAGTCATTAATAAGAGTACATGTTTTAGATATCTTAGGCCTATTGTTCAGAGTGATGGTGAAATAGATGGGAATATTATTAATATAATTCAAGTTGGATGGTTGAAGTGGAGGAATGCATCGGGCTTGTTGTGTGATAGAAAAGTCCCTTTCAAGCTTAAGGGAAAATTCTATAGATGATAGTGAGACTTGCAATGCTTTATGATGTAAAATGTTGGCCATTAAAAGGGAAGCATAATATTAAGATAAGTGTTGTTGAGATGAGGATGCTTAGGTGGATGACGGGCTTTACTCTTAGAGACAGTATACAAAATGAGCATATACGTGAAAAGGTTGGAGTAGCTCCAGTGAAAGATAAGATTAGAGAGAGTCGCCTTAAGATGGTTTCGTCACATAAAATGACGACCATCCAATGACCCAGTTAGGAAAGTAGATTTATTATTTTGACTTATGTTAAGAAAAATATAGGTGACCTAAAAAGACTTGGTTAGAAAATATTAGAAATGACCTTTATTTATTATATTTAGATGAGAATTTGACTCTTAATAGGACACAATGGAGCAAAAGGATTCATGTAGTTGATCTCATCGTGGGATAAAGGCTTGTTGTTGTTGTTGTTGTTTTTTCTGCAATGTGAAATTTCTTGTTTCTGTTTCTCTTCAAGCGAAAATTTCATTACATACTATCTTTTCTACTTTTGATACACCATTTACGAAGTCAATTTTTCTCTAGTGAGTGATTTCCAATGATTTTTTCAGTGAAGTTCGTATTGAAGGTTTAGAGACATTGGATTACCTCGACAACCTACATGAAAAAGAGCGTTTCACTGAACAGGGTGACGCGATCACATTTGAATCTGAAGTGAGTTTACTGATATGTCAAGCTGATACTTGGTTGCTTTCAGATCTTTTACTGACATTCTTGTTCGCAAAAGGTGGACAAAGTATACTTAAGCACGCCAAATAAGATTGCCATCCTGGACCATGAAAAGAAACGGACATTTGTTTTAAGAAAAGAAGGCCTACCAGATGCAGGTTCCTTCTCCAATCATACTCAATCAACTTAAGCTTGCAAGTCTTTCTGAAGATTTCAAAATTTTCGCGCTTATATCAAATGCCAAATTTTTATTTGATGGTTCTCTTTCTCTGCAGTGGTGTGGAATCCATGGGATAAGAAGGCCAAAGCAATTGCAGATCTTGGGGATGATGATTACAAGCACATGTTGTGCGTGGAGGCCGCTGCTATTGAGAAACCCATCACTTTGAAACCTGGTGAGGAGTGGAAGGGAAGGTTGGAACTATCTGCAGTTCCTTCCAGCTACTGCAGTGGACAGCTGGATCCTCAAAGGGTTCTTCATGGCTGAGCTTGTTTCAGTTCTTGAGGCGCACACCATTCACTGGTACTTTCATACTTATATTTTAGTTTTTGATGGCGATCACGCATAAAACTGATGCATATTTTGAAAGCACCCTGCATGTAGATTAAATCCATAATCATTTTTTGTGAATGAAAGATTATGGTCCGAACCTAACAACAAAACGAAGAAGAAAACAGTGAGAAATGAGATAATTAGGCAACTTCAAGTTAGTACAAAACTCTACAAACAGGTTAGAGAAGAAGGGCAATTCAAGGGTACCTACAACTCCAAAAATTCATTGGGAAAAAGAGGAGGGGAGTTGTAGCTTAATTTATTCATCGCATGCCCTAATTATGCTCCCACATGAAGAGTAAATGTAGACTCAAAAGACTCATTATGACGCATGAACTATCTTTATGTCGCTTATAGTTAGTTTATGTTGTTTGCTGAATATATTATACTGCCAACACTCTTTAGATTATTATGTGATAGAAATCAGAATCAAAGTTGAATTATCTGATAGCTCCACAGTTTTGCTGAATGGTTTGTGCAGGAGCAGGCTATGGATGCTGCTGGTGATATATAACGAGTGAAGATGGATGAAATAGTACTACTACTTGTTGTCTGTGTGGAGAAATATTTAAAATCTAACACAGGGGAAAGGGATATGTCAACCTGAAATACTGTGGCTATAATTTATAAGACTATGAGCTTGTTATTTGCATAATACACACATTTCATGAGAATAAGTCAGACCCATTTTCTTTTATGAATAATTTGTTTTTCCAGCGACCATGGGCTCATCTGCTGCTGATTGCGCTTGCCCTGGGGATAATATTCTGCTGGTGGGATCAGTAGCTTGAAATGTGATTAGTATTTTGTATTAGTTTCATATGGATGCTTTTATTTTAAACAATTATTAAAATTTTGTACTAAAAAATTGCTTTAAAAAACTGTCTTAAACAAAATCATAATCTAATTAAAAATGATTGTAATGGTTTTGGTTATCAGAAATAACTAAATTTATTGTTTAGAAATCAAACAATCACTATAAGTTATAAAAAAATTGTGCTTAAAAGGGCCTGAATTAGACTGTGTTGCCTAAAATCACTCAATTGCTGCATCGTTAATAAACTATATACATATATTATATTTATTTTGTAAAACTAAAAGATACCTTACCTAAGCTTTGCTCTAAAACTAGCCATACAATTTTGTTAGATTTTTGTATCTACAATGTTATTATCATATGAAAATCTAACAAATATAACTATTTAATGTCACTGTAATAGTCATTAACCTGATTGCATGTTAGTGATCATCTACATAAGTTTGCTATTGAGCATACCCCTTCGTGCCAATGAAAGCAAATGAATGCAGAGTAAATCAGATATTTGCCAAATCTACTACTATTGTTACATGCTAGAAGATTCATAGTGGTGGAGAGAGAGAGAGGGTTTAGCATTCTAGTGTTGTATGAAGATGTAGCACATACAAATAAAAAAGATGGGTGCAAGGGTCTTAAGAGATACCAAGATTTTTACATAGGAAATCCTAAAAAGATTTAAAAAAATCACGAGGCTTGACCCAACTCAAATTATTCTATTAGTATTTGTAGTCAATTACAAATGATACCCTTCCTTGGAGAACGGCTTTGGCTCAATGTAGCAAATATACATCATATATAGCATATTATATGATGGGAGTTGGAAAAATCCAGTGACATAATAGTTGTTCTCAGAAGAATGTTGGCTCATTTGTTTGGTTGGTAGGACTGTAGTCAGGCTACCGATGCTGGAGGGGTCGTAGTCCGACGACTAAGGTAGAGGGCATCATTGTCAAGTGATAGAGATTGGAGAGACCAAAATCGATGGACGATAGACGTCGAAGGGATCATAGTCAGGGGGCGACTAAGGTCGGAGGGACCTTAATCGGCAGGCAATGTAGGTTGGAGGGATTGTAGTTGGTGGGAGACAGAGGTCGGAGAGAACGTAGTCGGTGAGCAACGGTGGTTGGAGGGATCATAGTCGATAAGTAATAGTGGTCGGAGGTATTGTAGTCGGCCACCTTCGCTGAGCAACGATGGTCAAAGAGACTTTAGTCGGCGAGCAACGATGGTCGGAGGGATTGTTTTTGGCAAGCGACCTTGGTTGACGAGGTCATAGTCAATGGGTGATAGAGGTTTGACAAAGGCCCGACGATGGCTGATAGACGTAGGTCCGATGATAATGGTCGGGCAGAAGTCCAACAACGACGGCTTGGTGGTGAGAGTTTGACGGGGTGGAGCTCTAGGATACTTTAAGCTTTAATGCTCTCTTGAGTCTCTAACACATGGTCTATGCCTCCAAAAGTCTCAGCCCCCTTTCATATGGGAAGAGGAAGTCTATTTATATATTTTTAGAGTGGCATACTCCGTAAATATGAAGAAGATCCCGGGTAAATTCAGAATTCTCCATCGGACGGCCCATAATAATTCCCTTGATTATGAAGCATTTGTCAAGTATTTAAGTACCTCAATGATGTTAGAATTAAGGGATCTTGGGCTTGTTGGATTCTTCTCATCGAACTGCTCGATTCGACTAAAGTATGCCATATTTAAAGATCATTTGGTTATCCAATTAATGCTTTGAAGATTCTAAATATGCTTTGGTCCCTTGATTTGAACCCATTTGGGCCAGGACTGAACTAGTTTTGGTGTTGGGTTTGTTTAACTGAGATGTTCCATTTGACTGTAAGTTTGCTAAAATTGAAGTTCTGATGGTCCCAAATTTAATTTTGGGAGATGACAACTTATACCTCAAGATCCATGCTTGATCAAGATGATTTTTGATAATGTATCAACTATCAATATCGGCATGTGGCACAATCTTTCATCTCCATCGCAATGAGATCAAATTTCTTTTAGTCCTTTACTCCATAAGCTTTCCTCTTATATCATGTCAACCAAATAAACTGCTGCCTTACTTCTTACCTTCTAATCCATGAATTGAATGATAATGCCATGTATCTTGTGTTGTAATGATTTTTATTTTTAATTGAAAATTCACTTTTCGACTATGTGCCAAAGATAGCAAGTAAGAGTGAAGTTATGGGAAAATATTAAATAACTTATTCATTTTGGCATCAAATTTCTGTTTAGTGTAGGTCTTTATAGCAAATCATATTAAGGCTTCTTTTGAGACAACTTTTTTATTACTTTCTAAACCGATATTTTAGTACAAAAATAATCTTTGTACTAGAAAGTTGTTTTAGAAAACAATAAGAAAGCTGTCTCAAATGAAGCCTAAGTCCTGAATCTCATGACTATTATTTTAATGAAAGTACATCATATTCTTCCGCAAATGTGACAGTCAAATCTTGTGCTCCGCATTAAGAAAATCAATCTTGACTTCATCATCTAGACCTTCCTATATATATTTGATATAAAAGTCAATTTGGTGTAAGTTAGGTCCAAGTGATTCTGTTAAATTCTCTAAAAACAGTCCCCATATTTTCTTAAACTTGACTTTAGCCATAGTGAAAGCAATGATGAAAAGGCCATTATTGCTTCTAAAGAGTTTATGAATTAAAAGTCACTTAATTGTTTTGTTTTTGAATGGTAAGCATCAAGCCCAACTAAATATCTACAACAAGCTAGAAATTCATCGATACAAAACTTGAATTTGACAAAGAACCACTTGAAAGAACAATTGTGTATAGAATATGTGTATGTAATATGGAAGTCAAGATTTATATCAATAATTTTGCTCTTAGTGTTGGAACCGCCTTAGCTTCAAATATGCTATCTCGGGCTTACTCTCTTGCGTTCCTTAGCTTTATATATGGTAGTAAGAGACTGAACAAACTCTCCAAGTTTTTTTAAATTTATTTGGAGGTATTTTTAAATGATTTCTGAAGATATCTTGAATATGATCAGCTATTCATGCAAATGTGGCCTACTAGTTTGCTAACTTTATTGACACCATGATATAATGTATGTTTCTTCTAATTTCTTTACTTACAAAAGTTTGTCTATTTGCCCACCATGTTGCTCTTATTTCCTATAGACATCCTCAATGTAAGATGGTGGCTATGACTTTGATTCTATTATTAGCTATGATCTCGACACCATAATTACTTATGATTGCTTTAGTATGGAGGGCTTGTTTGAAGGCTATTGAATCATGGAAACGTGCACCAAAAGATAAAGTGATAATCTCCTCGAGTAATTAAAGTGATCATCACTATTCGAGAGCTTGAATGGTGCCACTTCAACATGTCATTAGCATCTTTGATTTATCGGCCTTTTAAACACATATCCTTCTCTTAATCATCTTGTGTTAGAACCACCACCTTAGCTCTGCCTGCATTCATCCAATAATACAATTATATTCGCCATGTCAAATATCGCTTGCAATTTTTGCTTCTGTCATTCATACTTTTTTATGTCTTGTCTCTTAACTTACATCCACTATCCACTATCCACTATCCACCAAATTTAGAAATAATTAAAATAGACTCATTCTTATCTATTATTAAACATTTTTATGATATAAGATCAAATAAATACTATATAGTTAAAGGAAAAAAAAAAGTGAATTGAAAATGAATATATAAATTAAAACATGAAAGCATCCTCATTTTAAACTATTACTACGAGGTAATTTGGAAACCGTCATAGAAACATTTCAAGAGCTCAATTCACATGATAGAATCAAAACAAGCTAGAGTAAAAATGACTATTAGGATATAACTTGATGAGTTTCCAATTAAAAAAAAAAAACTAAAAGGAAACAAAAAATACTTTAACAACTACTTAAAATTGTAAATAATAAATAAATCTCAATCATCCCTTGATTAAACCCTAAAAATGGAAACAACTATGTTTAAATGAGCTAAATACTAATGAAACAAAATGATTTAAGAATTATGTCATGAAAAAATTTTAAAGGCTTATGTTTAGTAAACCTATAGAGGCTGATGAGAACGAACGCCATGGAACTAGCCTTTCATGAGAGATATATTTTTAGCGTGACAACATAATAGAACAATCGATTTTGTGCGGGATTAAGAGAGAGGAACGAAGAGGAGATGGAAATCTATTTTGAGAAATTCAAATATTTTAGGTGTGATAAATGTAAATTAGAAGTTTGAAATTTTAAATATATAATTAGATAAAAATAAAGTGCTATTTATATTAATCACCCCAAAAAATTGAATTTTCACAGATTGTGTGACTTTTTTTTTTAAAAGAAATTGGGAGTTGGATTTATTTCTATTTCGTAGTTGAGCTTTGGATAATAATTTTTTAATAATTTATGAGTGGTCCCTCTGAGCCATTATTCGAATTTAGGGTAAAATTCCGAGTCATCTGAACCCCAAAGTTTATGATTCTTTCTTTACTTCAGCACTAAGGACGCAGTCCCGAAGCACTCCTCCGGTTTCCGTCCCCCAACCTTCTCTCACCTCTCTCTCTCTCTCTTCGCCCAAAATCCCCGGCCTCGGTTTCTTCATATCCATCCTGGGAGATGGCTTCCAGTTTTCCGTCCCGGCAGTGGGACGAGTTGGGATCCGGCGGGAAGGTTATCCACGACCGTCGCCGTTTACTACCATCTTTCTCGCCTTACAGCCGACCGCCGCCCGCTGCGGCGCTGATACCACGTCCAGTTCAAGAAGAGCAAACCGGAAGAAGGCTGAACTGGCTCAGGGGCCTGTTTTCCGGCATCGGGAAGCTATTCTTGTCCGTCCTTAGCTCTGAGGATAACAGCCCGTCCCCATCTGAGTGCTTTTCCAATTCCGATGACTACTACGATTATAGTCCCAGTGAGTATCCTTTCTCTGCTAATCTCCTACCCAATAGGGCAGCAATTATGTTTCTAGGCTAATTGGCTACGCGCATGATTTCTAGGGCAAATTAATTTTTTTTTTCAAGTGACCGATATCACATTCGATTTGGTATTTTTGGTGGTGATTTGTCGAATCAATTGCCCTGTTTCATGTCGCTTGGCTTTCTGTTGTTAGGTGCAGAGACCGCACCTTTAATGTGGAGCCAAAAGCAGGCTAGTAGATGTACCCAAACGTAAGTCCAAACATTAGCTTTAACCCGAGCCTGAAAAGTGTCCGCCTAAAATAAATATGCGCCAGAAGTTTTATTAAAGATGGGATTTTGCATGAGTTGAAGCGACATCCATATACAAACTCTAATTTTTTTCAGAGAACTCCATTTGACGAGGAGAGCCAGTGAGATTGAAGACTGATATGGTGAAGAAGTTTAAAGTTTAGCTGTTGATCATTGTCCTTCATCGAACTAAACCATCGTTCAAGCTTTACGTTGTTGTGAAAATTCATGTTCCTCCTTACGAAAACCTAGCTTCAGTACAACGTTTCACTTCCTGCAACCTAGACCTGTCAATTTCGGGTTACGGGTCGGGTTCGGGTCAACCCGGAATTGACCCGGAAATATTCGGGTTCGGGTCAACCCGACCCGTTTTTGTAAATGGGTCGATTTTCCGGACCCGAACCCGACCCGCTTCGGGTTCGGGTCAACCCGACCCGACCCGCGGAAGCCTCCTCCCGTCCCGGCAAGGTCTCCTCCGCTAGTCCGCTCCTCGCGGACCTCGCCTACGGACGCTGGCCGGAGGGCCAACTGCGGCTGACGCGGACGCTGGCCGGACGGCGGAACGCGGATGCTGGCCGCGGACGCTGGCCGGAGGGCGGAACGCAGACACTGGCCGCGCTGGCCGCGGAACTGCGGCTGACGCGGAGTCGCGGACGCTGGCCGGACAGCGGAACGCGAAGCGGACACAGGAGATGTCGCGCAGCCTGCGACGACAGCGACGTGACGCGGGTCGCACCGCGACGTGACAAGGTCCGGACTCCGGGACTGGCACGGGAAGGCGGGCAACTCGGGCTGGGGGCCTGGGGCAGCAGGCAGCTCGGGCTGGTGGCCTGGGGCAGCGGGCAAGGGGCAAGGGCGGGAATAAAATTTTTTTAAATTAAACGGGTTTTCGGGTTGACCCGGCAACTCGTCGGGTCAACCCGAACCCGACCCGCTTCGGGTTCGGGTCAACCCAAACCCGAAAATTCCGGGTCGGGTTTTCGGGTCGGGTCCAATATTGACAGGTCTACTGCAACCTTTAGCCCCTTGAAGGACAGTTATTCTCATCACTGCACTATGTCTCTCTATTCATCATCCCAATCTTAAATTTTTTAGGTTTCTGTTGTCATCTCCTCTCGAACATTGAATTGATCAATAGGCACTAATACACACCTAACATTATATTTTATGAAATATCATATCGTAACATATCATATCATATTTTTTTATGTAAATGTGTAATTTTGTACATAGGAATATTAATATATAAGTTGATATTCACTGTTGTATGCAGATGCAAACAAAACATAGGTACCATTTTTTGTGCTGTGTGTTACACACTTGTGTATATGTGTGCAAAATTGTTATTTTACAAAGTCATCTCTGTTGTATAAAGAATTGCTAGTCATATGACAGATTTTACATGCAGAATAGTCGAATTTCAATGCGAAGGGTAAGAATCCTTTTTTGTATTTTGTACACAACTGTGTGCAAACCTATAAAATCAATTTTAGGATTGTACACTGTTGCATACAAGTGTTTTTTGGAAAATTTCTTCCAATTTTTGTGTTATCTATAGCTATGCATAGCCCTTTAAACTCAAACTAAGATATGTACATAGTTGTGTGCATATATTTTTTTACAAGTTAATACAGTTTTGGTGCTGTACACAATTGTTTTCAAGCCTCAAATCAAATTAGGATTTGTACAAAGTTGTATACAGGCATTTTTTGTTTGTTATTTCAATTTTGGTGTTGTAAATAATTGTGTTTAGTCCTCTAAACTCAAACCAAGAGATTTACGTAGTCATGTACAAGTGATTTGTTCCGCTTAATCTTGTTTTTGTGCCATCCAAAGATGTGTGCAGCCCTCTATACTCAAATTAAGAGTCGTGCATCATTGTGTATAAGTAATTTTTTGGCAAGTTCTTTTATTTTTTGTGATGTACATCATTGTGTACTACCCACTCTCAAATTAAGGGTTGGACATAACATGCACTTATGTTTTTCAAGAAATTGTTTTTTTTGGTTGTTATGCATAGCTATGTATATCCCTTTAAGCTTAAATTAAGGACTATGTATAGATGGGTCGCTTTTTACAATCTATGTTATACAAAATTGTGTGTGGACCTTTAAACTCAATTTAAGATTCTACAAAATTGTTTACAAGTATTCTTTTGCTAGTTTTCCTATTTTTTGTGCTGTATATAATTGTATACTTCAAACTCAAATTTAGGGTTGTACACAACCATGCATAGATTCTTTTGGAAATTTAATTCAATTTTTGATGATGTACACTATTATGTTTAATTCTTTAAACTCAAATAAAGGTTTGTACACGGTTGTGTACATATATTTAATATAAGGATATCAAATATGTGTTATTCATTTATAAAATTAATTTAAAAATAGTATAAAAATATCAATTTCACAAGAAAAGAAAAAATACAAGATTTTTATTACAAATTTAGTTCCACTTCAAAGAAAAAAGGAGCAAGCATCTCACTTACTAACATGCTAATCTCGTTTAAAATCAAAGTCTAAATAATTTTTAAATACAAGAAACATAATAGAAATATCCTAAAGGAAGGAAAGAAATGGGCCACACACTGGCACAGGGAGTTTCCCTCCAAAGATATCCGTCCACACATGTGACGTACTCAAAGAGCACAAATCCAACAAGCTTATGCACCCAAGAGAGGAAAAATTGATTTATATTTCAGTGTCCATTGTTCCACTTTTACGAGCGGCCAAATTTTAAAAACGAGCATGTTTCATGGCACTTTCATCGGAAGCATCGCGTTTAAAAAAAATTTGAAAACGAGCCAATACGCCAAACTGTTCGGCGCATGCTTTCAATGCGCGGTTTGGATTGGTGCATTCAAAGAATGCGCCGAAGTTATAGGCGCATTCTTTGAATGCGCCTATAGGTTACGCGTATTTTTTAGAATGCGCGCAAACATGCCGCGCATTCTTCGCATTTTAAGTTTTTTTTTTTGAGTAAGCATTTTAAGTTCAACTCAGCTGGCGTCAGCGCAATTTCAGTGATTTCGTCTGAAGCGGGGGCAAGATCCGGAAATTACGCGAGTTTGGTGCAGAAATTCATGGCGGACGTTGAGTTGTAGTTGGCAGATGGAAAAGTTATGAGGGGAAGTGGGAAGCAAATTTGGCTATAAAAAGGGGAGCCGCAGTTCGTTTCCTTCCACTCTTCTTCAAGCTCAGCTTGCCTCAAACAACCGAGAACCAAAATCTTAAGGTATGTTGTTCTTTCTTTTATTTTTTCAATTTTTTTTGCTTTTATGTTAGTTATGAATTATTTGTTGTAAGATTATTTAGCATAGGTTCATCGAATTATATTTGTAAGTTGATGCTGTTAATTTTTTTGGTAAATTTTTATGATGTATTTGTTACAATTTATGTAATATTTTTCATGATTTTTTATTGATATTAAGCTGGAAAGTATGAAATTTGTAATTGTTAGATCTTTGTTCAAGCACGGATAAGTATGTGGACGTGTAAGCAGAGGAGCTGTGTCAACCAAATAATTTTTTACGTGTTTGTTATTTTTATAGTTATGTTATTTAATAAATTATTTTTAGACTAGCTATAATTTATAATATTATTAAAAAATCGAAAAATATGAGCTGAACTTTCATTATTTTTAATATTGAGCTGTATTAAATATTAATTACTTTTGGACTTGATTGCTTTAAAAAGTAAACGTGAGATATATTAGGTTAAAGACACACTAGTTTGTTGTAAAAGTAAATTTTTGTAGATTTGACGTTAGAAATAATGCATTAAAATAATGTTATTTTAAATTATTATGATTATTCTTACTAGTAAAATAGATAAGAAATATCTCTAAAAAAGTTGTTTTTTATTATATAAATTTGAAAAATAAAAGATATTTTGATGGAACAAAAAACAAGTTTGTCAATCATAATTTTTCATGGAACAAAAAACCGGCTTCAAAGCTTTAGTTTTTTAAGCACAACCATGCAAATTTAATAAGAATTAATATTTTCATACATTTATGTATGAGGATTGTGGGGGGATTTGTCATTATATTAAAAAAAAAGTATCACGAACATAAATGATAAATCTTAATATACAAAATCACATTTAGCATTTTCAACATCTTATAATTTAAGAGTTTGTATGACCATTTTTTAAGCATGTCATTTAAGAATATTTATAATTATTATTTGTTTACATAATAATGTAATAATCATTTTTATTTACAAAAATTTTTTATTAAATGGTTAGTGACAAAATACGTGCTTTGACAGCCACAACTTGTTTAAGTATGACTGAAAATAATTTTTTTTTATATTAATATTTTTTTTAAAATCAATCTAATAATTTTATAAAGATGACATTCATCTAAAAATTGATTATAGATTTTTTGAAGCCCGTATTTTTAAGAATTATTTTCAAATTGTTTAAAATTTTAGTTAGGATAGTATTGTATAATATAATATTTCAAATCGATTTTTTTTTTGCAAATGAATAATCGAGGCACTGAACCAAAGCAAATAATCGAGGCACTGAACCAAAGCAATGCCACAGAAAAAAAAGACATTTAAAAAAATCTTTTACAAACTAAAAAGATATTAAAATTTACCAATAATATTTAATATTAAAATTTAGTTAGTATAAAACTTAAAAATCATTTACAAACTTAAAAAATATTAAAATTTAGTTATTATATATATGTGAATTAG